TAGGTATCCTTTCTTCCAATCCTCGGGCACTTTGCCTTCTTTCCACACCTTCTCCAGTAGTGGCGTCATCAGGTCTGCTGTTGTCTCTGGGTCGACTTTCAATGCTTCTGCTGGGATTCCATCTGGTCCTGCTGCTTTCCCAGCTTTCAGCATCTTGATTGCCTTCAGGACTTCTGTTCTCCTCGGGGGGTGGATGTTCACTGGTAATTCTGCTTCCGTTGTTGGTATTGTTGGGCGCGTTGTAGGTGGCGGTCGGTTTAGTAGTCTTTTGAAGTGTTCAGCCCAGTGTTTCCTTTGCTCCACTTCTTTGGTGATTGACTTTCCATTTTCATCCTTCACTGGCTTAATTTGTGACGAATTTTTGCCTGAAAGGTACCTAGTTGTTTGGTGAAGTGTTGCGAGGTCTCCTTTGCCTGCAGCTTGTTCTGCTTCATTGGCCATGGCTTCATAATACTTTCTTTTGTCTTCTCTGGCACTCTTCTTTACTCCTTTGTTCAGTGCATTGTAGCTTACATTCAACTCCTGTTTCTGTTGCTCGTCGGTGCACTGCAGAATTTTTTGTTTCACCATCCTTCTCTCCTCTATTAGCCTCCAAGTGTCCGTAGTGAGCCACGGTTTGTCCTGTCTCTTCTTTCTGCCCAGAACTTCCATGCAGGTTTCGCTCCATACTGTTTTCAGGTTGTTCCAGTGTTTTTCGACGCTAACCTCTTCACCAGTGTTGATTTGTGTCTCGGCTTTGTCCTTTATACTTGCAGTAAAGATATCTTTTGTATCCTGGTCCTTTAGTTTTTGAGTGTTGAACTTGGCTTGTGGTCTATCTGTAGCTCCTGTTTCTCTGAAAGCCTTTAATTTGAGTTGGATTGTTCCTTGTACGAGGTAGTGGTCTGAGCCAACGTCTGCTCCTCTTCTTGCTTTTGTGTCCAGTAGGCTGCGCCGCCACTTCCTCGAGATTGTGATGAAGTCAATTTGGTTTTTGGTTCGCCCATCTGGTGACACCCATGTAGCCTTGTGAATATCCTTGTGTTTGTATACGCTGCCACCAATCACTAGTTCATTGAAGGCGCAGAAGTCGGCGAAGAGTTCTCCATTTTCATTCATCTCTCCCAGAGCTTCTTTACCCATGATGAGTTCCCTTCCTGTGTTGTCTGGTCCCAGTTTGGCGTTCATGTCTCCCATTAGTATTTTGATGTCACCGGCTGGAGTATTGTCTATTGCTGCCTGCAGTTGTCTGTAGAATTCTTCTTTCTTTTCGAGGTCTGCGTTGTTGGTCGGTGCATAGCATTGTATAATTGACACTTTCCTTCCTTTGGAGTTGAATCTGGCGGTTATTATCCTGGGTGAGATCGCCTCCCATTGTATCAGAGCCTTGGTTGCCGTTGGTGACATCATTATAGCCACGCCATCGGTGTGTGTGTGGTTGTCTTCTGGGTGACCGGAGTAAATCACTGACTCACCTGTTGACAATTTGGTGAGTCCGTATCCGTTCCATCTGCTTTCGCAGATCCCCAATACTTGTAGTCCGTATCTCCTCATTTCGCTTGCGATCTGGGCAGCTTTGCTAGTCTCGTACATGGTGCGGACATTCCATGTCCCCACACAGACTTTTTCTTTTGACGCAAGGAGACTGTTCACGCTGAAGTTTCTGTAGCAGGTTTGTTTACAGGGTGGGGTTGCTGGCCTCACGCCTGAGTTTAGTCTTTGGGTACCTGAAATAGAAGAAAGGTTAGTGTTGCGTGACCGCAGAGCCCAGGGGACATCTGCTTGAGGCCGGTCACACACGGCCTGGTGTGTCTCAGTAGCGTACTTATCACTTCTGCCCTGTGACACGGCAGCAGAAAGCGCGGTCGTTGTTAATCCGGGCCACGGCCGATCCGGCATGATATTTCTTGGATTCGTTTGGTTCATCGGGTTGGATTGTTGACGACTAAGTCCAGCCCCCACTGATAACGTCGCCAATGTATCAGTAGGTTGTGAGGTTTGACAAATTTGGTTGATGCCCGTTGTTACTATCAACGGAGCTACGCTAGGAACGGTGTGGCGACCCAAGTTATCTCCTACTGATACCGTCGCCACCGTCATATCAGTAGAAGTCCGGTTAAGCTGCCGGTCAGCCTCGGCTTCATTTTCAGCTCCCCGTTGTCCATAACATCGTGGATGAAATGAAAGAGCATGTACATCCTAAGAAACTCTCCGCAACATCTCTTACTTATAAATTACTATAATAATAATTATTATTAATATTTTATCCTACCTCTTATTATTATTTTTGCCTTATTTAAGACTGTCTCTTGTTGGTGACATTAACTTAAGCTGTTACATTGTTATTATTATCGTTACTGTTATTATCAATATTATTTAGTCTGCAATTCTTGATAGATTCCAGTTCTTTCACTCACTGATATCTAATTGTTTATTTAAATGATGTCATTTAAACTGTATTGCGTCATTACCTTCATTTTAATCTTTCAAACTCCCTTCACCTTATCTATCTGAACATGACTTGGAAAACATTCATACCTGCCTTTTTATATGATTGACTCAATGTGGTTTATTTACTTATAAGTTTTGTGTTTCCCAGTGTAATTCTAGTAGTATACAGTTGAAGAGTTCCATCAAAGTTTTATGAATTTATTATTATTCATGAACTTGGAATTCAAAGGTGATCAAGCTTCAGATATGCTCAAAAATCGTCTCTCTAAATCAGTCAGTAAAACGTTCTATGCAGTAAAATTACATATGACGTTCACTAGCCGCAAGTTGTTTTCTACCTTTGCAAAAGATAAGCTTCCCCGTCTGGCCACCTCCATGTGCATCTATCAGTTCACCTGTTCTTGTGGAGCTAGGTACATTGGCCGTAGTCAGAGGACGCTTTCCACACGGATACGAGAGCATATTCAAGCAGCATGGTTTTACAAAGGAGAAAGGAAGTGTGTGCGAAGCTCTATTCTGGAACACCTGATCGACTTCTGTCACTCTGTCAACCCTGACCATGATTTTGAGTTCATATATAGAATCCATGCTAACTTCCGACGTTTTCTTCGTCACAGACTTCTAAAGATAGCTGAGGCCTTGGCAATTCATGACTTTAAGCCAGACCTTTGTGTACAAAAGAAGTATGTACATTCCCTACTTCTGCCTTGGCCGTAGAGGGATAGACATTTATTTATTTTGTTTATTTATTGATTCTATGTACTCTTCCCTTACTACTACGATCGTAACAACAGAAGACAAGGGCCAGGCAACAGATCGTTTATTAAGGAAAATCAACACATATTTATAGATTTTCATGTACATTATTGTAGATTATTGTTAGTAGAAAATACAGTCTTTTGATTGGTTGTTTCTCACAAAAAGTTAACCTTGCATCTCTTTGTGGCTGTGTCAGATCATCCATATGCTGACTGTATCCACCTACGCAAAGCCTTTGTTCTCATTTTCTCACCATCAATATTGGGGACATAAACGCTGACGTCAATTACTGTCTACCAACTTTGGCTAGCAGCCAGCTCTCACCACATGATTATTATTATTAATATTATTATCATTATTATTATTACTAATGTCACTCTGATTCTTTTTCACTTGACCCACTTGACATTTTAAACCCAAAATTATTAATTTTTATATTTTTATTTTTACAATATTGAATTCTATCTTATCAAATAAAGTATAATTATATTTTAATAGTTTACACACAATGATAAGTTTTGTTATTGGTAATATTTCGAGCAAAATTACTGCCCGTGTTCACACCAGTGTTGGAATTGTTTGATTCTTATCAAATTTCACACTATGTTATGTAACATTTTATATTTGTCTACTAATCTTATAATTATGTACCCCTTTCCAAAATCTATACACCTCATGTATTATTCTATACACGACATTAATTATTTTGCCAATTGACATTAAACTATGATTATAATCGCAAATATTTTAATTGCATTTCATACTATTATTATTTCATGTATTCACAGCTTTGATCTAATTCCGTCACCGGATATAACTTCTTAAAAACCATATATATACGATTGCACAGCTTGATAATAAATTCGTTGTTGAAAAGAGTCTCTTCGCTGAATATTGTGTTCTTAAATTCTGTTTTTTTAACGTCTGTTGCTTGTTTAATTCAATTTTAGATTTTCCCGTAGACTGATTGGACCGAAGTACTCGGTGTCAGATTGACATGTTCGCTCCTTGTGTAGAGGACTGTAGCGATTCTGACGTGCAGATCGATCGTATAACGTGAGTATAGGAGCGAAAACCTAATCGAACCATCTATTAGCTGGTGCCCTACGAAAGTTTCCCTCAGGATCGCTGGCATTCTTAGATATAAACAGTTTTATTCGGTAAAGCGAATGGGGAGAAAACGTCCTCAAAACCTATTCTCAGACTTTAAATGGGTGAGAAGATTAACTTGCTTAAATGGAGTTCTGCATTGAATGTGAGTGCCAAGTGGTGAGTGCCATTTTTTGATAAGCAGAACTGGCTCTGTAGCAAGCGCATTCTGAATTCCACTGCTAGTCACCATCCCACAGTTTGTTGATTATTTTAAAAGGACAATTAAGCCGCCTAACACACAAACTCAAATAATCCAACTTAGTAAGCTCCAAATCATCCAGATGAACGTATCCTCATGATGTTGGTGAGTAAAATTCTGCTCTACTATATGAATATTTTTATTCAAATTTTCATTCACAGACCAGGCAGTTGTATAAACAAAAAAGAACAAACAGTTTGGATCAATTTATAACACAATTCAGATGCTGAAGACAAATGAAGATGTCAAAAAATGACCAGAAGAAATGTGGATGAGATCAAGAGAGACAAAGAAGCAGATGAAAATGCACTAATAGAGACGACTTCTTATTTCTATTAAGAAAAAAAAATTTTGGGAAAAAAGGATACATCACTTCTATAAAACAAAACAGTTTCTTGATATGTAAACTGTTACGGAATAATAAAAATAAAGGCGGCTGATAAATTTGTGTACAGTATAAAATTACTAGAAAACTTTTAAGTTCTGTTAATTTGATGAATACAAACCATCTCATATTCATTTATAAATAAATATCCAAATAAATATATAAAATATAATCAAATTTTACAACAAGATTCAATCTTCAATGTTATAATTTGTTTTTTTGAATTGCATATTTCTTTTTTGACCTTGACGCTTATTGAAATCCCTAAAAGGATTACAGATAGGGTGAGGAGTGTAAGAAAAGGTCAAAGGACCGGTAATTGTATGAACAAAGGCGAGAGAGTTTGAGCACGTGACATGCATATACACACACACACCATATACACGGAGGGAGAAGCAGAAGGCATTATCTATAAAAAATGAGAAAGACATTTTAATGATTAATTACTGTATTCGCTTTATCCGTATTATGGCTAATTGTAGCTGAATTCTTCTTATCAATTGTTGCATTGACAAATGTCTTAGCACTGGCCAACGCTTTATGCAGATAACGTGACATTCGTCTATTGCGTATTTTACGTTTCGCTGTACGATGTAACTGTTTCACCATATAAAGTTGATCTGCATGTGCATAATAGAGTAAGAAATGATTGACCAGGACAGGTATAGTATACGACATTAACAATGCACCCAGTATGATACATGCTGTAGCCACAATATAACCATAAGTATTACTAGGCACTAGATCTCCATATCCAACAGTTGACATTGTGATTAATGCCCACCAAAATCCTTTTGGAATATCCGTAAATGATTTATCAACAAAATAAATAGCTGCACCAAAGAATAAGGCACTTTCAAGAATTAATACTACAATAATTGATACATCTGCTATTGTTGTACGAATTGTATACAAGAGAACACGTGTCCCTCGATGACGTCTTAATACACGAAATAGGCGTAGAACAACAAACACTTTTAAAATGACAAAATACTCTTCTACCCGAAGTACACTGATTATCCATGCTACGGCTTGTGGATCATTATAATTAGAATTATATACTAATTCATAGAAAATAAATTCACAATAGAATGGGATCAAGGATAAGATATCGATCAGTGTTGACACAGAAAATAACCAGACTAGAAAACATGGACAAAATACCATACGAATTAATACATCGATAGTGATAGCAATTGAAAAGAAGATATCCATTTGTACAAGCCATTTAGCTGGTAATGTTAACAGACTACTATTTGTTCTCACTGAGACTGGGATTTGTACAGATGGATCAGGAAAATTATCCAATGTTGTTCCATTAGGCAAAGCAGATGCATTTAAATAGAATGGTACACGAAAATCTTTTACAGTAGACAACATAAATACACCGACAGCTGAAGTAACAATTAATGTTTCATAAATTAAATACAAACGTCTTAACCATGTAATATACTTTGCTTCACTTTCATTCGATGATGCTGACCTCCAGACTGGACGAAATTTACTCAATTCTGGATCACAATCAGCATTCATTGAATTCATAGTGGGTAAATTTGAAGGTGGTGTTTCTTGTGGACAAGATACTACTGAAATATGATTCATCGGTTGATTATTCATTGAATCTTGACCTTGTGAATTCTGTTCAGCATAAGGGTGAGGATGTGATTGTTGAGCAACTGCATTATTGACTTGTTTACAGAGATCATGGGGATCTAATGTCTTTTGATTCGAGTCAACAGTCCCTTCATTCATACTTAATTGAATATTATTATTGTTGGTTTTATTATAATCACAGGGAAATAGGGGATTCGTTGTTTCTTGTCGAGCATTTCGATGAGCACTCAATCGTGCACTGACACGTCTTGTTGAAATATCGATCACAGACCATACTTTTTCACGAAATGCTTGCCATTTATAAGATCTATTTTGAGATTTAAAAGAAATGGAATAAATAGAAGGGAAACACATTAAGATCTATGAAAAACTTGAACAAATAGATTATATGTGATTAGTGGGTATTTATTTGTTTCGTCCTATTTTGTTACTCTTCAGTTGTGCACATCGTCGACTTCCATCAGCGATAGAAGAAACCTTGGCATTCAGGTTACGAGGCCAAGCTAGCTGGTCGCTCAGTCGCTTGAAGAGGCTGGAATTCAAAGACTGGAATTCAAATCATCAAACTTAAAGGAGGAAACACAGGAAGAGATACGCCAAACAATTGTACCAATGGTCAAACAGAAAAAAAAACAACACACACAACTCAACTCTCAAGAACTAAAGGCCCTCAAAAAGCTGAAAAACAGGAAGGACATCGTCATTCTACCAGCCGACAAAGGAAGAACAACAGTAATCATGGACAGAGAAGAATACACCAAGAAAGCTGAAGAACTACTCAAAGACGAGGATGTGTATCAACAACTCCAAACAAATCCCATACAAACAGTGGACAACCGCATCCAAAGGACCTTAAACAAGCTCACTAAAACGGGACAGATCACAAAACAAGACCAATAGCGAATGAAATCCAATGGACGAGTCCTACGTCGATTCCTCGGCAGACCCAAAATACACAAGCCAAATGTCCCGTTACGACCAATTCTATCACTACCAGGAACTCCAACATATAATTTATCCAAAGAATTATACAGAAAATTGAAACACCTAAAGGGATCTTGTGATCACTCCATCAATTCTGCTATCCAATTTCTAGAGAAAATCAGAGGCATCCAAATAGATGAACAAGAGATAATGATATCCTTCGACGTCACAGCATTGTATACCTCAGTCGGACAAAAACTAGCAAAAGAAACCATGGAGCAATTACTTAGCAACGACGAACACCTTCCACAAAAATCAAAAATGCAACACACAAGTTGGATGGAATGCATAAACCTATGTCTAACAACATACTTCCAATTCAACGGCCGAATATATGAACAAGTCAAAGGAATACCTATGGGATCGCCAATATCAGGTTTGATTGCAGAAGCAGTGATGCAAAGGCTCGAGAACATAATTCTACCAAAGATCAAACCCAAGATTTGGATACGCTACGTAGACGAGACATTTGTAATTATCAAAAGAAACGAGTTAGATAAAGCTCACAACCTGATAAACAACGTCTTCAACGACATCAAATTCACAAGAGAAGAGGAATCAGAAAACTAATTCCCATTTTTGGACGTCTTAGTCAAGCGAACAACGACAGAAGAATTAGAAACTCAAGTCTATAGAAAATCAACTCACACAGACCAAATCCTGAACTACAACAGCAACATTCTAATAGCACACAAGAGAAATTGCATACAAACACTATTCAAGAGAGCCAGGACTCATTGCAGCACTCCCACCTTAAGGAAAATTGAAGAAAGATATCTCATGGACGTCTTCCAAAAGAATGGATATCCACGGAATTTCATCAAAAGACATACACCCCCAAGCCAACCTATCAAACCGAAAGCCCCCAAGGAAAGCACAAAGAAAATCGCCTTACCATATATAAAGGACATCTCAGAAATCACTACAAGACTCTTCAAACCTTTAGGAATTGACGTCGTACACAAACCAACAAAGTCACTTCACTCAATTCTATGTCAACCAAAAGACTCAACAGCGAAGGAAGATAAAACCAACATCATCTACAAAATAGATTGTATCAACTGCGAAAGACACTACATTGGTCAAAGTGGACGTCCCCTTCGTCTTCGTATCCACGGACATAAGCTAACTGTTAAAAGACATGACATCCACTCCCTCATATCACTACATACATACAACCAGGGACATCAATTCGACTGGGACAACGTTCAAATATTAGACAGAGGAAACAACAAGAATGCTAGAGAATTTATAGAAGCTTGGCATTCCAGTAAACATGACTGATGGAATTCAGTCTGCACTGAAGATAGGACTAGACGCATTACACTAGTTACTGACTAGTGTGCAATCAAAAGTATTCCAGTGAATCATCAATCAATAGACACATCGAGATAGACAAAATTTACCAACCGATATGAAAGAAACCTCACACACAAAGGGTCAAATTTCAAGTCAAAGAAACAATGAGTGACAATACAAGTAACCTAGATGGTGTGAGAACACACAAAAACAACCAATCACGCCCAAGGTAGCCAGGAGAGATGATTAATAAACTCGTGGAGAAATCTAAAAGCTCACTTCAAATTGAAGTATGCGCTGAAGATGTCACCCAGTAGGGTGATGAAAGCTTCGCAAATTAACTATCCAGCTCAGAGAACACAACCACATAAAAATCATCCACCTGAGCTACAAATCTTCTCTATCATTTATGTCCAAACCAAGTTCACTTTTAACGATTTGAAAAAATTTGGGCACTTGGTGTATGAAATTTATTATAATAAAGGTTTTTGTACTTCCCAATGAATGAAAAACAAAACGATATTGTTTTTACTGACGTTTCGCTATTTAATGCTAATAGCTTTATCAAACGCATTCCGAAAACATGTACCTCAACAGTCGTCATTCCATATAGAGCAGAGACGTCAGATGATATCAGAAGATTACTCAATCAGCTCAACATTAGAGTTTTCTTCAAAACATCAGGCACACTACGAAACAACCTTGTCCATATAAAAGACCAGATCCCGAAAAATTCTCTATCTAATTGTGTCTATAAAATAAAATGCTTGCTTTGAACGTGATGTGATATACATCGGACAAACATCTCGAGAAATCTAAATCAGAAGAAATGAACACCGTAGAGCATCTGTTCGATCGCCGATAAATCCGGTTGAACTAGAAAAACTTGAAAAATCATCAGCCATAGCTTGTCTACACGCTATAGAATCAGGTCACAAAATTGATTTTGACAATATTGAAATAATCCAGAAAAAGTAATTCAGAAGTCACAAAGAACGTCTAATATCAGAAGCACTTCATATCAAGTGGAATCCAAATTGTCTAATAGGAATGATGGACTAAAACAGAATTTGAACTGTTTAATAAACATCCCTCCCCCATGAAGTGATAGAATCAACACGAATGTGATATGCAAGTTCACTATGTAAACACACACTGCCTTTTCAATTTTAAACACTGATCAAATCCAACAATCTACACTTGATTTCGATTTTGTTATCTTCACCAATTGACCAACTTGACAACGAAAAATGCCCCAGATAGACGAACGATGATCAAGTTAGTAAACTTTGTTTTGATACCATAACAGATGTACTTTTATCTTTGTTATTTGATTTAGTGATCTTCATTGTTATTTTGACTTTCAATATGTCCTCTTTAACTTGACCTAAGTCTATTTTCTCACCCCCTAACTCTTTGTTATATATATACTGAGATTTTGTAAATTCCGGTTTAATAATACTTTGATAAAGCTATAAGTGGCATTAAATAGCGAAACGTCAGTAAAACCAACAATATTGTTTTGTTTTTCATTCATTGGAAAATACAAAAACCTTTATCACAATGAACATTATTAACATATTTATCCGATGAGTTCAAGTACAGACAAAAAATCAATGTATGCATACAGTGGCAGTAATAATAATAACCACTTTTATTCCAAACAATAATTATCGTACAGAGTGGAATTTCCAGCGTTGTGCAATCAAATGGAAGATGGAATGGTAACATCCAGTCACTAGGCGAGGAAAGACTGACAGCTGCTTCCCTCTGAACACATAAATCGCGTTTTTGGCATTTGTTAGAGATTGCTTCAGCAAGCTTGCGTAGAACTGAACTATTCTGTGTACTGACAATTTTGAGGGATTTTGCGATTTGCAGCTGATGACCCCTATCAGAGAGTCGCCTGACGATGGCACTGTCGTAGGCATTTGTTCCCCTGAGAGGAAGACTTTTCGGTACATGTTGAGGAAACCATAGGTGTGCCCTCCCGATGTCACTGACCACGTAGATAGATGGGCATTTGAAAACAGAGTTAATATGAGAAGGGTATCTGTCGACTTTTGATTGCACCAGAGGGCATGTTGTCCGATAAACGGGAACCAACTTAGCCGCAGGATAGGTTCTGGTTAGTGACGCATTCAGTTTTCTGTTGACTGTTGCTGCAATGTTGTCACCTTTAAGATCGAGTTGAATGAAGATAGGGTTTCCCCATTGTGATTTATTTGACATTAGAGCCTTCACATCTTCCGTACCTGCTAATGAATTTCTGAGGTTAACTGTTGTTTTTCAACATCTTTTCGAGAATCATAAAGTGTTCCTCTAATTTTTCTGTAGAGTATATTCTTCTGACTGTATAGAACAGAGTTTCGACTAGTGCTTGTTTATAGTTATTGGGACAAAAGTTGTTGAAATGTAAGTGTTATCCACTCCATGGTGGCTTTCGGTAAATTGACCTCTGCAGACTTTATTAATTTGTGAAACAACACTATCCCCACCAATACCTTCGACAAATATCCACTTACCCTTGACATGGTGGACCTCACTGGCGAAGTTAGAATTCATGGATAGTTGAATTTTAGCCAGAACAACCGAATGATCAGAGGGGGGCTTGGTCTCACAACCTGAAGGCTCCAGGTTCTATCCCTGATTGAGTCGTCTTGAAATATAAACACAACAGACATCCAGTGTTCCCTGATGTTTCATCCAGCTATCTGTTGAGTTGATGTTGATTCTTGACAAAATTTAACAACTGAAGGTCGGGTGTGAGGAAAAATACTCGCCGAAGACATTGGCTAGGGGTCGCGCTATGTCGTGAATTGGCAGAAGTTACAATTCATGGGCCATTGGATCGGGTTCCAGTGGCTTAATGGTATGCGAGCTCGCCTTGTAACCAGAAGGTCCTGGGTTCCAATCCCGTTGGGTGCATACTGATGAAGAGTCCCAAACTAGGACGGAGGAAACAGCTGTCCAGTACTCCCAGGTTTTCCAATGGTTCTCTAACTAATGTCAGCTCATGATGAA